CAGTTAGCTGTTGTCTTGCACAGTGCTTTGTTTCTTTGTCTTACAGTTACTTTCGCTTTGTGTGGCCAGCATGCCACCCTGACTAAACCCCAGTAATGATCACAATCAATCACATTTCCAGTACCTGCTTGTATTTGAGGAACTGTAGTTGGTTCTTCACTGCTTCGTGTTCGTACGTGGCTTTTTGCTGCAGCCAGGCTGCGCCTGCGGTTGTTCTCTCTCCACCTTCGGGCTGCGGCCCTAGAGCTGACTTTCTAGCCGGATAGCCCCCTCTTGTGGCGCAGAGAAGCATTTCTGCTGATAAAAGGAATACTGCTGATCCAGAAGCAAATCCGCCGAAGTTTTGAGGACTAGGACACTGAACAGATGTGGCTTTCTTATTTCTTGTCTTCCTCCCAGTCTGCTTTGTCAGCCTCTAGTTAATTAGTTGGATAGCTAAAATGCAGAGTTATTACCTATTGCTAGGTAATAAAAGTGAGGTTTATCTTCTTGTCACATGGTAGGATGAACCGTCAGTCATAGAACTGCTTCTCTGCTTCATCCTTATCTCAGGCATTCTCACTAGTTACCTTTTCTAACCAGCCTTCTCTGTTGAAAAAGCATGTAACCCAAAAAAGAAAGTAAAGAAGAGGAGCTGGAAGTGTTCCCACAACTGCTGACATATCTAGTTCATTCACTAGACTTGTATGAAGTATAGTTTCTGTGCATTGATTGGTATTTCCTACCTTTTAATGTATGTTAGTAGTTGTGGAAGGGTTTTCTCCTCCTCTTGTTTTATTTTCATGTTTGGGATGAATTGTCTTGGGGCTTTTATTGTTTGGGGTTTTTTTTTGCTGTATATAAGTTGGCTAGCATCTTCCAAATCCACTTCTAAAATGTGCATTATTACATGTTCTAATTTAATTATGAATACGTTTACATTTTTTTCCATGTCTTCATAGAACAAATGAAATCTTATTGACAATTATAACGTGTAGTTGGAAAAAAACTCTAACATCCAACCAAACAAATTTTGGAGGAGTCATAAAAAACAGGGAAAGTGTTTGCCTGCACTGTAAAATCACATTAATTTCATAGGTCTAAAAGTACTCTACATACCATTTATACCTCAGCTGCATTCATAGATCAGCTTGTTCTCATTACTGCTGCTCATCTCAGTCTGAAACATGTTTTACATCTTCCATTTCAGAAGTAAAAGGCTACTCATACTTGGGTAGCCATCTACCTTGGAGTACAGTTCTCTTAACTGTATTGATGGTCTCCTTGTAGAAATGTCAGAAAACATCTACCCTCAGGGATCATCTCCTGTTCTCCGACAAGATAGTGGTTTATTTGTCTTTTGGGTTTGTTTTTTTTTAGTTAAGCTGCACAGTCTCCTCCAGACATAGGTAAATGCTTTCAGCATTTCCTATTTCAGGAAATAGTTACAAAATGCCCTTGGCATCCACTTGGTGAGAGCTAAGAGGTTCAAGAAACTTTCAGATACGCCATTCTGTAAGAGTTGTGGAAGGCATGGGCATAGGTGGGGCTGCACATGCTAGCCAAGAAACTTCTCTCAGGTGCATGAGTACATCCTGAAGTACACGTGTGGTCGCTGTGTTTCAAAAAGTTCTTAGTTACTCTACTCTGTTGTTGTGAAGGTGGGCATTGAATACTTTCTGCCAGGTTCTGTAACTTGGCACACTGTGATTTAACATGTCTAAATTTTCACTTGCAAAATGTATACATTATAAAACTGTCTTCTATGCAAAATTTTCAATGCCAGCTACTATGCATATACATCTAGGTCTTAAATGTCTGAGCTTAAAGGGTAGAAGTCTCTTGAAATTAAGATATAGCAAAAAATAATTCTGACTAACATCAGAATTTCATTACGGAAACCCCCAAACATTTCATAACTTGCATTTCTGATTACAAAAGAATCTCATAATGGGGTGAAAAATGATGTCTTCTTTTCTGCAGGTTCAAATGGACCACAGTTGTTTACAGTTGAACAGTGGGGCACCCCTGAAAAACTGCCAAGAGCTCATACCTGGTGAGTATTTAATTTAGGTAGATTATGACCTTTTGTAAGAGTGATGAAATACTTAAGAGTTTTCATCTGTTTTTCAGCTTTAATCGCTTGGATTTGCCTCCATATGACTCGTTTGAAGATTTACGGGATAAACTTCTTCTGGCAATTGAAAATACTCAGGGTTTTGATGGGGTTGATTAAGACACAGACATAAATTGTATTGGTCCAGTGCTGCAATTTAATTTTAAGGGTTTACAGACAAATTTGAGTTCTCCAGGGACTACCATTGTATTTAGTCACATGGCTATTGAATCTTCATAGTATTACTTGTAAGTATGCAAAATTCACTAACTTTTGAAAATGTATTTTGCCATTTCCACGGTTTTGTGTACCTTGCTAATGACTACAGTATACGCGTTGGATGGGCCAGTGCCAAGTAAGTCAACACCTAAAATGTTTTTAAGCAGTTGCCTCTTCTACAGTATTTGACAGACTGTCCGGCAGTAAACTACTGAAGTAAAACTGTGAAGAAGTCTTTGCGGAGGGTGTAAATTTGAATTGCTGCTTTAAGAGGAACAACTGAAATTGTTAAACTGTTTTAAAAACCAAACCAACAAAAAACCAAACCCAACAAACTTCATGTAATGCAATATCATAATCTGTGCTGCTTCAAGCTGTTTGCTACCCATCTGTCCAAAGCCTATTAGTAAAAGGAAAGCATTTGTTTGCATTATCAGCCATCAGTTTGCAGAGCATTGACTTGCTGACACATTGTATTTGTTAGAGTTCTATTTCTAACTTGCTTTTGTTAAAACAGTGTAACAAATCCAGGATTTTTATATGAAACAGACAAGCAGCATAATTGTGTTGTAATGAGTGATCATATACTATATTTGAATTTGTATACTGTCATTGGTTTATTGTGTTCATCACTTTTGATAAATTTGTAGTTCAGTGATGGATAATATTTTCAATTCAGCCTTTTGCAACAAAGTAATCTTAAAGTGAAATTTGTATGGATATCACTCAGTATTAGTTAGTGATAGAGGCCTTTATTATCCATTCTTGCAGTATTGCACTACATAACAATAAAGAACATGTTTACAGGGGTTTCTGGGCCAAATTCAGCAGTCTGATGTGTGCACACTTCTCTGAACTGCATGGAGGTTATGCACATGTGATCAGGTGCAGAATTTGGTTCTGTAATATGTTTACAGGTTGTGCTAGTTTCTACAGCTGCATTTTTATATTTTTTTTCCTCCACTGTTAGTCTAGAAACCAAATTTGGTAATACCGTATAACCAAAGTCATAGCCAACAATGTGCAATTGATTGTAGATCAACTTGTCATAGAAATACTAGGTTGATTTCTTTTGTAAATGTGGATGTTTTTTGTATTAACACTTTTTTTGAGCAAGTGCTGGGTAAAATGATTAGCAAAATTGGTTCTAAAAGAAAAAACAGATTTATATACCTGGCTTGCTCTGATTTTAACATTTTATTACCAATATGATCTGTAGAAATGACAGCACCTAGCTTTGGCCAGGAAATCTGTTTAGTCTTTATAAATATGCAAGAAGGAAGTGTAGCACATCTCTCTATACAGATATGTAAATTATGTAACAAATGTAATGGGTCTTAAGGGATATTTAAAATCCCACTTTGTTTTATTCTTTGTCTAGGTTATTAGGGCTGAGAACATGACATGTAAATAAAGGTAACTTATACAAATTTCCCAAATCTATATCCGGTTTTGTAAAACGTGAATGAAATATCAGTAAATCTGTATAGATTTGAATATAGCAGGTTTTATTGCTTAAAGTATGGAAAAGGATCCTGAGAGCAGTAAATAAAAGTTTATTCTAGTAAGTTGTGATTCAGTTCTTTGAACTGCAGATCGGTAGTCTTGAAATAGCAAGACTTGTTTAGTGCTCCTCGGTAGACCTGCACCAGCACCAGATGGGCCTGAACCAAGAGTTCACACCAAGAAGTGGTGGGTGACAGAGTGCAGATGCTCCCCCCTGTGGGCTTTAAACTAAGTTTGCTGAGGAATGGTGATAACAGCTGGCGGTTAAGTTAGAGAAGAGAGGTCAATTATGCGAAGTACTGAGGCAGGGTGAGGGGAGCGAGGCAGCCCTGATGGAGGATGCTGCAGCCTCAAGGGGGCCCACCTCTTGTGCCTGCTCACACTCCGAGGCAGCCAGGGAAAGACCAGGAGGAGCAAGGGATATGGCTGGAGCCACAGTACTGCAGCGAGGTCTGTGGAAGGGGTGACAGGCTGGTACAGAGCTTTGTGGGTCTGGGTCAGGGCAGGACTTGTCCTAGGCCACCTGTTTGTCATGAGGGGGTGGCAGAGTGGGCTTTGAAGCACCTCAAGAAAGTCAACATTGCGAACCCTTGCTCTTACGTCAGACTAAACTCCCTGACGTCTGCAGGAAGGGAGATACAATCTGCAAGGCTTCTGGAGGGGGTTGTGAACAGCTAAACAGGGGCGCTGGTTTGGCCAGCAGGGAGGTGTTCTGTGTCCCTTTGGACTTGTGTTTTCTGCACATCATACCTCTGTACTGACTGAAGCATGTTCACTTAGATTGGGGGGGGTAGGGCAGCTCCCAGATGCTAATCTCTTGGTAATAGATTTTGTGCAGATCCGGTTAAAACGCTTAGATCTATGAAGAAACTGCCTTTTAAAGGGAGACTCGAGCACAGTGCTCGTTCTGCAGCAGGGCACCTCGGGCACCTCCAGCTGCTCGAGGCGGCGCCAGCACAGGCCGCCAGGTGGCGCCGCCGCCCGCGCCGGGCCCCGCGCGCGGTCCGGTAACGGCTGCAGCCCGCTGACAGAAACCGGGCCTGGGCCGGAGCCTCGGGCAGGCCGGGCCGCGGGGCGTGCGGCTGAGCACACGGTAAGCGTGGTACGAGCCGGGTTACATCAGCGGAGGGTGGTGTAAAACCTCCGCGGAACTTCTCGGGGGCTTGGCTTCCATGTTTCGTGTTTTGTGAAAACTGGTGGGGATGTTCATTTGTGTTATGGCTGTTAGATAGGGAGTGGTGTTTCTGATCCTAAATAACTAACTACAGTGCTGTCAAAGAAGTGAGTCTGTTTAGCCTTATAAAGTATATGGAGTAACCTCAGCAAAGGCTTTCAGTTTAAATGTAGTTCAGAGGTCTCCTTAGACTGCTGTGGGTGAGGTTTTCTTAGATTTTCAGTCAATGTCAGTAATTCGGTTTGTATTGGCTTAAGGGGTTTTGGTCTGAAATTGCCTTTCTCTAAAATTTCTCCTTCACTCCAAAGGTTACCATGGATGAGGAAGCGCTGTGCAGTCTGGTGTCACAGAAATGAGGCTATAGGTAGGAACAAGCAGCATTCATCAGTACCGTGGAGGTCTGCGGCACTGGATTTTCCTCTAAATGCAGTTTCCACCACTGGCAGATTCTCGGGTTGGGTGTTATTGGTGTCAAATCTGCCACTTCTCAAGAGGGTACAGGTGATGCTTCATTGTTCTCATTGCACCATGAGGCAGATCTGTGGGTTAGTGGGAAAGCAAAACAGTAATTTCTTGTAAGTGCCACTGGGGCTTCACTCATGCTGCTCACAGGACACATGACTTAAATTATTTTTAATTACTATTAATCAAGTCACATCTGTAGCATATTAAACAAATTATTTTTTACTAGAAACAGGGCTGTCTGCTGGCATCAAACCTAGGCAAAATATATGTATGTGAGCGTAAGCTACTCATTTTCCTTCTCTATCCTACTTTTCCTTTCTAACCTCATTGTTTCATAAAGAAACTTACTTTGCAAGCTACCTAGTGCTTTGGCATTTGATTTGTTCTCTAAATCCATAGCACAGTCTGTTGTGGGGCTTGTGTTCTTCACACAGGATCATAGCAAATCATATTCTGCTTTTTTTTCAGGCAGTTTATTTTAGTATCTACCCTTTTTAATGAACAATTTCTTTAAGGAATCAGCGTGCAGTTCTTACAATGTGAACAGAGAGGAGCTCGCTTATTTATCTACAGGTAGGCCACCATCACCAATAAGAATCCCTGTCTCTGGTGCCATAGAAATACCTCATGGAAATGTCTGTGTGTTAAAAAGGCAACCGCCACATAGCATCTTCTATTGTTATAAATGGGAATTAAGCATTTAACAGCTGCTGTATTGCTCTGCAGCATTATGAAATGAGTAGAAGATGCAAGCACAAGCCTTGTTACTCCTATACTAAATCATTTTTCTTTGAAGTGGAGACTTAATTGCTTTTTCTATGTGGAACATATATCGTTAGCACACTAATCAGAATACAAGCAGCTCGCAAAGGGGATAATGAGGGAGAACTTCCATGTAATGCTTGGTTTACATCCACGTGACTCTGTAGAAAAATGTTTTGTTTTCCTGAGCTGCCCTTAATTTGAGGCTTTTTGCTTAATGAGACTTCAAACAAATTCTGCATTATAGGTTTCAGGTTTTCATCCCAGAGAGAGGCTTGGGATTTTGGGGAGGGCAGGGAGGCAAAGCAGCTTGGAAAACCTGAACAGACATTAAGTAAGCATGCCTCTTGAGGAAAGACAGATAAGGCAACCTTCCTAAATGCGACAGAAGTAAAACTTCCTGTTTAAATACACCATAGTCTAAAAGCATACGTCACAATTTGTTTTTCTTAAGCCTTTTGAGTTTAATTTAATAGAAAATGTTTTCATAATTGTCTGATAGCTTTTCTGATGTTTTCTACAAGCTGAAATATTTCTCATGCAGGTTTTGTTTTGAGGGCTGGGAAGTATGACCTTTTGGAGGCTGGGAACACACGTGTCCTACTATGCACTGCTGCTTGAGAGTGTGCAAAATGCTAAAGGTTTAAATCAAATTGCCCTGAGGACTGCTTACTGACCTTTTGAATGCAAAGCTGTCAAAACCTTCAGCTAGACATCAGCTAGAGAAGAACACTTAAGGCAGATCAATGCAAACAGAAAACAATGTGGTTCTGACTTTTGGTAATTCCTAGTTAGTAACAAACGTTACTGTGCTGCAAGAGCTGTTGGAAACAAACACGTACTGCTGAGGAGTTTCTGTGAGTAACATGTAATAGTTGTTTCTCAAAGAAAACCTTTTATAATCTACTTAAGAAATTAAAAGTTTTCATTAATTGCTAAATCCTGATAGAGTTATCTGAGCAAGATGCTTCATTGACTTCAAAGGGATTTTTGTCTACTTAAGGAATGCAGGGTCAGGCCCTTAACTAGTGATAACTTTCTTCAGTGGGTTGTCAGATATGACAAACTATGCCACTTTAATAGAAGTTACCCTGGCCTTGCCATGCTATCCCTTTATCCTGCAAATCTGCTTTCTTCCTTTGCCCAGAACTTCTGGGTGGCTGTTATATAAAATTTAGGAATTGCTCTCTGTAAGCTGTGGCTTCTGTGATTATATTTTCTTCACTTTGAATATACATTATATTCTAGCTATGATACATTATATAATAAATCCAGTTGATGAAAGTGTTGGATGTAGTTATAAGTTTGTCCCCCTTCCTTCTGTGAATTGCTGCCCAGCTGTTTGTTGTCCATCCTTAACAGACTTACTTGTAATTAGTTGCACTATTACTTGCTGTAATGCAGAGTTTTAAAGAAATGCCTTCCTTTCTATATAAGCTTACAGAAATGAACCAAAAAATCAGGGGACTGGAAGGATTTGTTTGGTCTCAGTCTAATAATTAGAAATGTGCAATAAGTATTAAGCAATCATGTATGTCCTGTGGTGAAGACCCACAGGAATAATTACTTTGCAGGTTAGTAAAAAATAATTCTCTCTGCTTTATCAGAGTGTTACAACTGCTCTCAGTGTAATTAAAAGTTAGTTCTTAATGCTTAAGAGGTGCTGCTGCATCCAAGGCAAAAATAATATAATTGAGCTCTATTAACATGTAGCTAAAAAGTACGCCGTTTTGCCACTAACTTAGCATAAAACTCCACCCCTGCTACACACTTTTCCCCATAGTACTTAAGATGAACATTCTGGCATGCACATGGTATGTATTGCCTAAGTGTCTTATTTGCCTAGTGCAAGTTCTGTCATCTGCCAGAACTTGGCCACTGTGACCTTCTAGAGGTATCTAAACATAAATGACAGCAAAATGTTATTTAGTATTTAGCAAACATGATCTTGGGGTAATGATTAGGTACTGGACAGCAGCACAGCTGAAACCAAGTTATACTACCAGCAGCCCTAACTGGCGGTTGCTCTCCTAATGCACTATGCAGGCACATCTGTGTACGCCACATACTAAACCACACCAGGGACTTGATTCCAGTGAAAAAACACTTCTATTTCTCCTGCCAAGTTATTTGCATCCGCATCAGTTCTCTGATCTGATTCCTCACTTGGTCACACAAGCGCTTATGCCAACCCAAAGTCAGCACCACAAGTTGCAAAGCATTGAGTTGCATCAAACAAATGGAGGATGCCTGTGGATGTGCTTCCAGCAGAGCCTCTGATCTCCTCCTGCCCTGCTGGGCCTGCTCAGGGGCCAGAGAGGAACTTGAGCCAGGTTAGTAACAGTGCAGGGGAAAGAGGAATTGGGGTGGGCTGCTCTGTCCTCTAAGCCACGCAGGGCACTGTGATCCAGCTATGTCTCCTGCCTTCAGCTCCTGTCCAGCACTGGGCAGACAGCTCTTGCAGAGCCTCTTAAAATATGAGAAATCCCCATGGGCTCCCAAGTGACTCCTACAGCCCAGCTGAGATAAGACCCCAGCCACTGCAGCTGATGGAGGCAGTAATTTTGGCATCAAAAGAAATCACCCTTGTGCTGCCCAGCTTTTGGCTCCCCTTAATTCACCCCCCTTTGGCTTGCTTCTAGCACCGGGGTGTTGCCTTTAGCGGTTCAGCCCGAATTCTTGATGAAGCTGTTCTGGTGGAAGTCACAGCTTTGCGTGGCCCTTCAAACATCTCGGTACCCATCCCCAAAGCAGTGCTCTTTGCAGGGGCCTTTGCAGGACAGGGCTGTGTGCATGTGAGGGGGAGGAGGTGCTGGGAACATGCCTTGAAGGCTTCAAATCTGTTTATCTTCACACTCCTGAGAGGCAATCGCTCTCCCATGACAGGGTGGCGCACTGGAGGGAACTGCACTGGCAGTGAGGAGATAAACCTATGGGGCACAGGCTGCTTTGGCCAAGTGGCCTCTCCCTGACCAGCAATTCCTTATGTCTCTGTGAGATGAGACGAGCAGCAGGAAGGCTCCTTCAATCTTTCTTTTTAATAGTTCCTTGGGATAAATTGTAGATAAGAGGAGACCATATTGTTAACAAGCTGAGAGTGCAAAGACAAAGGAAAAGGCTGCAATCTTTCACAGCAGAAGTTAATGGGTATATTCAGCAGTATGTCCAACTGCTGATTTGCCTTGTTTTTCGTTTATTTTATTTCCAGTAATTGTTTCCTGATTGCAAACATATAGAGGAAAAGAGGCAGAAATGATTTGCCTATTTCCTCTTGTAACAGCAGAATGAAGGTAAATTACACAGGGATGAAAGGAGACCATATTTCATGCCTGTTGCTAAACAAATAGCTGCAGAACAGTGGGTTGTCATGATAAGCAAGAAAGACACTAACAAAAAGCTGCCTCTGGAAGGTTCGAGAGATTCCTTTGTAGGTTCTAATGCAGAAAGTGGTAACCTAGGAGATACCTTCTTTCTCTTCAGTTATTCTTGGTCTGATACTTATTGTATCAACCCAGTGTATTAACACTTTGATTTATGGAAGATAACATCAGGGTACCTTACTGCCGCATTTCCAGGGTTGTGTTTTGTTCTCTTACTGGGGAAAGGGTTGAGTGAGGGGACTGCACCGAGCAAATTAAAAAATATATACATTGCAAATGCAGTTTATGGGGCAGCTCTTCTCCACCTGCTGTCCATTCCTGCTCCTTGCTGCAATTTCCACATATGCATAAACCCTTAATGAAGTTATTCCATGTGTTTCAGCGTGCAGATTCCAGCTGCGGCTGCCTGTCTGTTGTCTCTTTGGTCCCAAGCCAGCTGAGCACCATAGGCTTATCTCTCAGGATTGCTGAGCATCCCTGAGGTCAGAGAAAGAAAACTGTGCAGCACCTTATGTGAGAGCCCAAGGTGGCATGGCAGAGGCATGCAGGCTGCCCTGGCCTGGGGAACATTCATGGTGGTTTAGCTGATCTGAGTCAGGGCAGCTGCTGTCCCGTGCTGTTGCCATACATTTAGCTGCATGTTGCAACCCGTGGTCCTTCACCATTCATTGTGCACTAAGAGCCAGGTTAAGAAGGTAAACCATGAGAAGTCAAGCTCTACTGAAAAAAAAAAGGAAGAGTTTTCTGGCAGGTTATGTGCTCCACTCGGAGCAGGCAGAGGAGCGTCAGCAGTGGCATGAGGGCTGAAGAGCATGGAGCTGCAGTAAACCTAAACTCCACACCATAAGAACTCTACACTGTATGTAAGGGAAAGACTACACACTCAGGCATCAGGTATGCCCTCAGGAGTGTACTTTCTGTAGCCATAGCTGTGTGGTTTGTTAAATGTACCAAGAAGACCCAATTGCTTGCATTAAGTATTTTTAACACCTTCCAGCAGCAGTAAATGGGCATGGGAGAGCAAGGAAACATGCTTTGCCAGATCCCTGTGAGGTTACTCCTCCAAACTGCTTGCAGTTACCTCCAGCAGCAGGGGAGGATGTTGGGGTGTCTTCTTTCTCCTGGTGAAATTCATGGCAGGGTCCCTTTTCGTTCTAGTGTGATGAGACTGCAGGGGTAGGGGTAAATGTCTGGAGGCTGCCTCTGGGGCACTGTGAAACAACCTGGCTGAGGCATATCCACTGATTTGGGTCAGTGGACCACTGTTGTAGAAGGTGGCTGGGGAAAAAAAAAAAGCAACGAAAGTGTGGCAAATAATTGTAGTCCTTCCACTTTGGTGTTTGCTGCTTTATAACCAAATGAGATCTGTGTTAAAATCCCTTTGTCAAGGAGGTGTGCTTTTCCTGTACAGGAAGGCTCCCTGGAGAGAAAGTTCATTAGCATCCAAAGGGCTCAGCCCAAGGTGTGTATGCCCATCTGCTCATGGAAGGAGTGAATCTCCTTTGAGAATGCAACAAAGATGGTAACTGTACACAGGTTCAAAATGAAGCAAGAATCCACTTAAGTGACCAAATGTGCTGAAAGTAAACATTTGTATGATGGATCTTAATAGAGTTAGCTTAATATGTTGTAAATCTGTGAATACAGTTGTAACTGGGTCAGGAGTTTGTCATGAGAAACAAGAAAGTGTCTAAACATGCCTACAGTAACACCAGATCAAAAACACTCAGAGCAAGAACTGTAAAGGAAAGAAAAAAGGGGCTTCCCTGAGAAGAAGGGTTAATGACACCCTGCTGGGAATGCAGTTATGGCAGGCCTTTAGCTGGGTTTTGAGGACTCCCCTGGCTGAAGGCAGAGCTGAGCCAGTGCAAATTGCTGTAATTCCCCTGCAGTTAATTGGGCTCTGGCAATTACAACTGCTCTCAGCCCGCCCTAAAAAGTGACCGCAGCTCCAATGCTGCCACAGCCATGCTAAACTGGTGATTGTACTCTCTTCTGTGCCTTGGGCGCCTGTAACTACAGCTTGCTTCATGCCAGCAGTGACCTGCCCGCAGACCTGGTGGATGAACTGGGACCTGGCACTGGTAGTGTTGAGCCTGGGGGGCTGGAAGGATTGGGGGTCCAGGATGATGATTATATGTTGGTTTGAAAATAGATTTGGGCTCCAGGACTCTACTATTGCCTCTTAAAGGGTGCAGCTAATTGAGGATACTGTTGTGACTGCACATGTGCCAATGGGCACACTTAAACTGCTGTAAGCAGCTCTCTCCCCACCTCTCCTGTTTCCCACACATGGGTGCTTATCTTTACCCTTTTCTGTCCCATGACATTACAGTGTTAGAGCAGGAGCTGTGCAAAGCCACACTTGGGGAATGGATCATCTGGGCAAAGACACTTCCCCATCTCTGAGCTTTTCAGGTCAGGTGGGACACAGCATATGCAGGCACTCAGCTTAGGCAGGTTGTGGCCATACCAAACACCATTAGTGCTGCTGTGACAGCTTTTCCCAGACCACAGGCATGAGAGTGCTAACATGATGCTATTCTTTTTCTCAGGTAGAGCTGAAATGCTTAGTGCAAAACTGACCAGAGACCAAACTGAACTATTTCTGATTTAAGCTGAAAGAAATTGAAATGGTCCAACACTAGAAAAACCTTACGCTAACCTGGAAAGAAAATTCATTCCCCATCGTGGGCTTGTGGCTGCAGAGATCTCATAAACAGAGTTCACTGGGGAAGCTCCAATCAGCTTCTTTCCTTTTCCTGAGGCTGCTATATACCATCCCAAAGTCCTGCCTATTAGTTCCCTTTCTAGAAACGTTGGTAACACTTCAGAAAAAGTGTATAAACACCATGGTCATGAAACTTCATTCATGTTTGGAGAATCCCTCTCTCTCCCTACTGGTTCATAATGGGGCCAAAATTCTGGATTGTATGGCCCCAGCTCAGTTTAGCAGCCCTGGAGGGGTTGACAGCTGCCCAGCACACATGCAGAAGAGCAGTGGAGCAAAGCCTTGAGCTAGATCTGTTCATGTCAGTCTGATATTCAAATCTTTCTTTTCAGGGCTTGCCAGATCTGAGGCTGAGGCTGAAATGCAGCATAAGGTAATCAGGTTATTTACAGACAGCAACCTGGACAGCATGCTGATATTCCAGCTGTTGGTAGCACTTCAGAAAGAGGTCTTGCCACTGACTTGTGTTTAAAGACACTGAGGAGCTGACTGCTGAAGTTATTATTTCTTTGAAAGGTGTGTGCATCTTGTTTGCAGACCCCCAAACCGAAGAGAAAGCATAGGAAAGGATTTATATGGATCTGTAAAGAACCACAAAACCAGCGGAAGTTTGCACAGCCAAAAATACAGATCAAGTCAAGCAAAAAAGTCTGTGTTGGTGACAGAAGAGAAATTGCTGCCCTGCAGCAAAGTAGGCATAGTTTTGTTTATGTTGGCTGGCAGTACTTTGTACTCATCCTGGACTGCCATTCTGGCTTTCTCAAGATAATGCTGCTGTGAGAAGGCCAGCCAAGTGATAATTGTGTTTATTGGCTCCATATTTACTAACATGGTGTGTTTGACAAAGTTATGGCTGGCAGTGCCTTTAAACTGCGGTTCAATGGGTTTATCAGTTTGCAGTGAAGTATGAATTTAGATATGTTATCTCAAGTCTGCACTATATCTAATCCAGCTAATTACTGGAAAATGTGTTAAAATGACTTCTGACAAATTAAAGAGAGAGAGCTTATGCTCATCTAGTTAGAGGATGACTGACTTAATTCTGATAAGAAATTTATTATTTGTTTTGTTCAGCAGATACGTGAAAATGGAAATACTGGTGTTTGCAGCTGCCTCAACACAGCCGCACGAAGTGCTCCAGTGGGAAGCACTTTTCTTTGTCAAGCCATTGAAGACAAATATTGTGTTTGATCTCATGAGTCAAACCCTCCTGCTGGCACAGCGTAGTCCAGGGAAACGGTAAAGCGGTTTCCCTGCCACAGGAGTGAGCACAGACAACACAACTAACAGCAATCAGCCCACAAGTAAGCCTACAGATTGTTTTTTCTCCATTGGCTTCTTTTGTCTCCTGGTCCATTAGGACCAACTCCTGCTTCAAAGAGGGCTGGTGAGCTGGGCAAGGAGGTGTCCATTGCTGGGCAGTACAGCACAGCCACCCACTCATGCCTGCGGGAAGCAGTGTGCTGCTGCACAGAGCATAGGTCTGCAGGGAAGTAACTTGTATCTAACAAAGGACAGTTTCAGCCTCTCCACCAACTGACCAAAGCACATGCCATAGAAATGCTACTGGGTAATGCATTCCTTGTCCCTGTGTTTGTCTTCTAGTTGTGCCGAGGTCATCTAGCAAATCTCGAATTCAGGTCACTAATCAACCACGATTTAGCAGGAGAGAGTCCACTACCAACATGAGCTGCAATTGAAAGTTGTGAGTTTGCCACAAGAAAGAATTCATGTTTAATCATTAATGCTCAAAAAGAATATAAACAAAATTGCTTGTGATACCTTTTTTCATAATTCACACTTTTATGACTGGATAAATTAAAACACTTAGGAAATTTTAAAAATACTGAGTCAAGTGGATCCTGTTACTGTATTTGCTCCTATTCGGACACCAAAGCCGTACATGTGCAGTTGTGCTTTGCAAAATGACTGTGAAACTGCCTGGATGCCTTTTGGGTAACTGATCTGTATGCAGAACAAATCTTTCCTAATTACCTTTCCTGAAAACTAGTGCTAAGATCAGAGCAAGCTGAATGCTTCTGCTTATGTATTTTTGACAAGTGAGAAAGGTGATATAGGTCAAACTATGGCTTGTGTCATGTTTAGATATCTCTGATTTTCTTCTGCAGGCTTTCAGGAGTCACTGACTGAGGCTGCATCCAGTCCCAGTGATGATGCGGCAGAAGGGACCAAGTTTGGCTGCCGGGTCCTGGCTCTGTGAGCTTTGCACTGCTGGCAGGAACAAAAAGCACTGAAAACTTGCCTGTCACTGAAGTCAGCAGCTCTCACAATGAAAGCAAACAAGGGGCAAATTTGCTGAGTAAGAAGATGCCTTCCTACATGGTAACTTTAGAAACTAGACCTCTGAATAGACAAAAAAGTAGCTTAGAAATCGCTGGCTGCGAGCATGGAGTAAATTTACTGGTGGAGCTGTGAACTTCAGTGATAGTGGCAGCATTTGATTTGATATTTCACTTCCAAATCGTCCATAGGGTGTTGATAGCATAATTCTCAAGCCATCTGTTTGCAGTTTAGGTTGCATTTCAGCAAGCTACATTTTGGACTTGAGGCAAATGTAAACTTATGGCTGTTTTCTGGTGGAGACAAGCAGAGGGTGGCTCATCCTCAGCAGCAGAGCACTGCCTCACACAGGCATCTAGAAGTGTTTTTATTGGTGCTGTATGAAGGGGTCAGTGAGAATCACTGACAAAATGGCACTCTACTTCTGATCAATTCCCATTCTCGCAGCGCCGTGGGGTGTTCTGCCAAACCCAGCCATCATGCCACCTGCACTGGGCACTGCAGGGTCTGCTGCCCAGACCTCGGAAGGCCCGCCGGCTGCGTGCCGCTGGTGGGCAGCTCCGGTTTTGGCACAGACCTTCGGTAAAGACGGGTCTGGCTGAGCGCTGTTAATGCTCGCCCTAGCGCTGCGGTGTGTAGTGCCCTGCGCATAGACGGCAGCTCCTGCCCGGTCGGGGGGGGCGGCTGGGCCGCCCGCCCGCAGAGCCTGGCCGCCGCGGAGCTGTCCCGGGGGGGGAGCTGCTTTTGGGCCCCAGCGCCTTCCGAGGCGCCCCGTCTGCGGGGCAGCGCCGGCGCTCCTCCGTGCGGGGGTCGTGCTCGGCCCAGATGGCGCCGGAGCCCCTAGCCCCTCGTGCTCGGGGCCGGCGGGTCCTGCCGCCCCCCTTCCCCGGGGTATTGTCCGCCGCGGCCCGCCCCGTCCAGCGGCGTCCCTCCCTCCTCCGCCCCCCACCCGGCCCTGCCCCTCGCCCCTCTTCTCCCCAAAGGCCAATGGAGACGAGATGCGGAGAGTAGGGCCGGGACGGGCGCGCCGGGGCCGCTCCGTCCATCCTCTGTCTCCTCCCCTCGGCCGCTGACCGGTCTCTCTCGCGGCGGCCGGCGGGGCATGCCAGCCGCCTCCCGCTGAATGGCGCCGTTCTGCCGCCGGGCGCTGCTGCGGGCGCTGCTGCTGCTCCCTCTACTCCCGCTGCCAGGTGAGTCCGCCCGCCCGCCCCGTGCCCCGAGGGCCCATTGTCCGCCCGCGCTCCGGCCCCGCTCCGCCGCACGTGGTTTTATTTATCGGGCACCGGCGGGGCCGGCTGCGGCGGGAACCGGCTCCGGCTCCACGCTTTGTTCGCGGCGGGGCTCTGTGCCGCCCCGCCGGCAGGGGGCGCGCGCTGCGGGTATCCCCTCGCTGCCGCGTTAGGCAAGGGGCGACCGTTAATTAGCCGCGCGCTCGGCGGGGGCGGTTGGAGGGGCTCTGAGGGGCTGCGCGGGCACCTGGCGGCCGCTGCCTCCCGCTCTCCGCTCCGGGGCTCCGCCAGCGGCTTGCCGTGCCGCCGGCCTCTTGCGCCTCGCCCCGCTCCTCGGGCGGGCTCCTGAAGTCACCGAGCGGGAGCTGCCGCAGCTGTGTGCCGGGCCCCGCGGCCGCCGGTGCGCGCTCACCTGACGCGCTGCGCGCCCCGCGCTCAGCCCTGGCCACGGTGGCTTTACGCTGCCTGAACTCAGTACCGCAGAGTGCGCAAAGTTCTCTGCGTTTGGAGCCTGTAGCAGCGAGAGTTGTACCTTGAGCGGTGGGCTCAGCACGGTGACCCGCGGCTCACAAGTGCGCTCGGTACCGTGCACCCCTGTGCTTACGGGCAAAATCTGTTTTTCTCTCTCTTAGGAGCATGGTGCTTTAGTGAACTCTTTTTTGTGAAAGAGCCTCAGGACATTACAGTGTCAAGGAAGGATCCGGTGGTTTTAGACTGCCAGGCGCGTGGAGAAGCTCCTATCACTATTACATGGCTGAAAAATGGAGGCAAAGTATCTGAAAATGAACGGATCTACACTTTATCCAATGGCTCGTTATATATCAGTGAGGTGGAAGGAAAGAAAGGAGAGCTGTCTGATGAAGGATTTTACCAGTGCTTAGCTCTGAACAAATATGGGGCCATTCTCAGTCAAAAAAGCCACCTCACACTAGCAAGTAAGTTCCAGCTCTTATTTATTAACCTGCTTCTCAATTTGTGACAGCAATTTCCTGAACAGTACACAACAACCTATCCTTTTGATTGTGTATCTAAAAAGACACATTACAAAGCAAAGATCGAGTCAATTCTGCAGTACCTTTGTTTCTTGTGACATATTTAAAGATCATAAACAACACTTGTGATGGCCCTGGCGTGGCAGGAGCAGCACAGCCACCTCTGGGGCCTCTTGGGCAGTGGTGCTTCGTGTGGGTGGCTCATGTAGGTCACTGGTCTCCAGAGCAGGGGGTGGTGCAGAGCTGTGCTGGCTGCAGCACTCCTGGGTCTTGTTTCCCATGTGCTGTTCGGGCAGCCTTACAAGGGTCATCTACAAATCTGATTAAAAAATAATAAAATTACTCCTTGTTCAATATCTTGGTGGTGTGCCATCTTGCGGCAGGGCAGAACAACTGATGAAGCTGGCTGTCTTGGGGAAGGGAAAGGTTTTCTGAGCAACCATGAGGGTTATATTACCAAGCTCTTGCTTTTCTGACACTTGCATTCAGCCCAGCAGATGCGGGTGCTGTCCCTTCTGGGACTCCTCTGGAACTTACCCAAAGGGCCTCTTACGTGGTCCTAAGGGCTAGGAAGTGAGAGTCTAGGGTGACTCCCTGCTACTAGATGAATGGTGAAGGAAATAGTTGTAAGTGCCTTTATGGTTTTAACTGTCTGACACGGGCTGTGTGTTGCCCTCTTGTTTTCCTAGCATCTTTAAATGCGTTGAGCAACATATGTGCGTTGCAAACTGAATGCCATGCCTTTCTCTGTGCCAGTGCAAAGCATTGCCAGTAGGCTGCTTCTACAACGCTACAGGTTTTTTTCTTTTCAAAGAAAGTGTAACACAGAGAGTACAAAGTTGATGTAGTCTTCTCATGTTCCTCTATAATAGGACTTAACTGATGAACTTAATCTAATAGGAAAAGGCTTCCTTTGACCTCTTCAACCCTGTTCTTGGTAGCAAGTTGCACAAAACTGACATTGATGTCTCTCTGGAAACTTGGCATTTGTTGTAAATTGCAAGTTTTACCAAAATCAACCTGAAACCCATTAATACAATTGGTACATCAGCTTACATGAAAAAATGCTAGAATATTAACATTGCTAGAATGTTAACATTTCAGCTTACATGAAAAAATGCTAGAATGTTTTTCCTGTGTGCTTCTGAATTTACTATATAAACTATCCGTAAGATACCCCAGGAAGGTGTGAAGTGAGCCAGAGCATGGGGCAGTTGAAAATGACCCTGAATCAGGTGGCTACTAGTAAGTGATAATTTCATGTGCTGTAAGAAGCTGTTACGTGAACTCTTGATTTCAAAAACCTGGCTACTTACAACTAAGTATCATGGCATCCCACATACAGGATAAACAGACCAAACACCTCTTGCATACTTTTGCGGAAATGATGAAAAATTAAGTATTATTATTGTTGACATTTAAATTCACCTCACTAGGTTTCTGAGTGTCAGTGCCATTAATAAACAGACTGAAGAAAACCTTTCTTAAAAGGATAGGAGTTCTTAATAAATACAAAGGAAGTCCCTGGCTGATGGGTTCCGTGTGTAGGATTGGGGAAAATTCAGGGCCACTTTAAATCTGAGATATTGCAGGATGAGCTCTGTTCTCAGTATCAGAGACCACCTGGAATAGAATAGCACTGTAGTAGTACAATGCAGTATTAGATTTTAGTATTAGATTTTATTCATACAGTACTGAACTTCTGTAAGTGTTTCTCAGATGCACATTATTTCACCAGAAATATGGTTTAATTTTGTTTTGCTTTTTTGATAAAGGTTTTCACACAGGAAGAGTTGTGAACCAAAAGATTTCATGCTGTGGAGTGAGACTCTTGTTTTGCAGCCCTTTCTTCTCTCCCCCCCCCCCCCTTTTTTTTTTTTTTTCATTTTTCTCCCCCCTCCCCTGTAAGACTGTGACAAAAGGTTTCTTTTTCTTCTTTGAATACTTGAAAGGTTTCCTATGGCTGTTGGAGAAAACTGGAAGGGATAGTGGATCCATAATGATCACAGTAGGTGTTGTTGACTTAGCGATTAAGTGGTTAACTAGGGGCCAAACATGAAGTTATCTTATGTAGCAGTCTCTTCTTTTTAGTCATGTTACAATCTGACCGGCTTCAGAATGTAATCTTCACTGTAAAGCTGTGAAATGAGGCAGTAATTTGTATCGTCGTATTTTGAAGCCCATAAAATCTGCACAATTCATTTTATACCAAATTTTTACAGTGTTTGTGCCTGGTATCATGTGCTGATTGAACTTGGCAGACCTTTTAAGCTAAATATATTAAAATCTTGTGGGGGATTTTGTAGGCTTATAATTTTGTTTAGAAGGAGTTGTTGGTTGCTGTGAAGGCAAATTACCTTGTGGTCAGGGTAGAGAAGGAACTATACATATTAAACAGGTGGAGAATAGGCATTAAATGGGCATTCTTTCTTTGGGGGAGAAAAAGCAAATGCTCTCTTCAGTTAGTGGTAGCAGCAGGGTGCGAGGATGTTCTTTTACTTTGCCTGGTCAGAGCTTTTGCCAGTAAGCTTATCTCTTGCTTCAGAATTGTAATGTTTAGTGTTGCATTTGGAAATCAAAAACTTTAATCTGTCCAAGAGTTTAAGATTTGAACACACAAGGAGATCGGGTCTTGGTTTCTAAAGTTAGGAACTGGAAGCTGAAGGTTGCACTCTTGGCAAGAATTCCATTATTCATGTGCAAATTAAGAATTCACAGGGTTAAAAGGTTAGAAACTGGCCAGGATGAGGTTTACCCTTGTGATAAAGAGCAGATGACCCTCATTCATTGGCCAAAGCTTTCATGTAGCTCCTCTGCAAAGTTAGTGATTGCCATGAATTGTTCTTGAGGAATGCAGAAATTCAAATGTGAGCAGGCCTTTCCTTAAGTGTCACTATGGAGCCTTATCTCCTGAGCACATCAGAGTAGGTCTGCAGGGACAGGGTTCCTCCCCAGAGGCC